TCCTGTGGCACCTTTAAGACTAACAGTCTTAAAGGTGCCACAGGACCCTCTGTTGCTTTTTACAGATTCAGACTAACACGGCTACCCCTCTGATACTGGAAACACTAGGGTTCCCTATCTGAGATAAAAAGAACAAGAGTACTTGTGGCACCTTAGAGACTAACAAATTTATTATATGCATCCGAAGAAGTGGGCTGTAGTCCACGAAAGCTTATGCTCTAATAAATTTGTTAGTCTCTAAGGTGCCACAAGTACTCTTGTTCTTTTTGTGGATACAGACTAACACGGCTGCTACTCTGAAACCTATCTGAGATAGTCCACCAGCTGGCTGCCCTAAAGCTGTGGTCCCTGGAAGCCCTAGAAATCCAGGGTGCCAAGCCTGGGAACTTGGGAGCTGGTGCTCCCAGTGTTTCCAGTTTCTCAGCTCCTTGTCAGCCAGGAGGGTTGTGGTGTGTGACATTCCCTAGGGTACAAGCTGGACTATAGAATAGAGGCGTCCCCTTAACTCTATAGCCTGGGGTGCCTTTAATACTGCTTTGCTGCCAGAACAGCCACATCTGGCCTGCTCACATACAGCCATTAGCATGTAAAATCACTCCCAGCCACATGACCTTGAATGCTCTTTCAGCCATTCAAGAATTATACACAGGGAAACACCTGCATAGTCTTCAGTCCCAGCCTTGTTCCCTAGACAGGAGGAGGAGAGGTGATGTGGAAGTCCCTGTCTCTTATTTTATACCCTCCTCCTTTCTTTGAGAATTACCCCCGCCAGAGTGTAGACAAACAGTCCGCTGTGTACATGCGGTTTGAAACATTCCTGCAGTGCAATGTAAATTTCTTGTTTACACTCCCCCGTGCTGGTGAATGGACAATTAAGTAGAGATTAGCTTTTTAGCACCTGGCTGGCATGCTAGTGTACCTTTGTCTCTGAGAAAATGGTTTGTGTGCATTACACAGAACTACAACATATTTCAGTAACAATCATATAGCAAAATCTCATAATCTTACATGCAGTGATGTTACACAAATTTCAATTGGATAATGATATTCAGCAAATTATGAGTTTTCTAATGATACCTCACAAGGCATACTTTGTACAAAATATATCATAACCTTATAAAAGTGGTGAACATGGGTATAGGATGTTATGGGGGGAATTAGGAGCCTGAAAGCCCTGGTTGAGCAAGGAGATTGGGACCTGGCACTTCCAGGCTCTCTCTCAGCTCTGCAGGGGAGCCTAGAAGTTTAGGAGCTTGGGCTCCAACAATTCATAGATTATAAAACCAGAAGGAGCTACTATGATCATCTAGTCAGCCAGGTGCTAAAAAGCTATTCTCTACTTAACTGTCCATCATCTAGTCTGACCTCCTACAGAACACAGGCCATAGAACTTCCCTGATTTGACTGCTGTTTGAACAACAGTATCTGTTTTAGAAAAAAAGTTCAACCTTATTTAAAAATTGTCAATGTTGAAGAATACACCATAATTCTTGGGACGATGTTCCAAATGGTTTTGTTATACTTGGACCCAGCAGAGAAGGATATAGACAGAGGGAACTAATGGAAACACAGCTGTCTGTTGTGGAAAGATTATTGTTCTTCTGGCAGTAAAACTGAAACCAACATGACAGTGAGGCTTTGTACTGAGGAAGGGTGAGTGCTGAAACATTTAAAAGGATAGGACATCACATTCCTCCACCCTACTTTAAAAAAGCTTTCCAAATACATATACATTGTCATTTACATGGCTAACAAAAACTATATAACCTAACTAAAGTTGTGGGTGGTCTACTGCAGACTCGTAAATTGCAAAGGATTATTCTGCCCTGGAATAGCAACTCACTAACTGAACAACATATAAATTCAGGCACACAACTGGTTTTCTCACTCTCTTGGGATAACATGGTGATGGTGGTGTGGCAGTTCCCTGAAGAACAGAAACAGTTGGGGTAAGAAATCAATTGGATCGAATACCAACGTTTCTTTCACCAAGTCATCAATATTAGGAGGTTTTAACAGAAGGAGGTTTGATCTGAGGAACAGAAAGTCCTACTGGACCATCCCTGGACTCTGGTACTTGTCAAGATTACAACTGGTCCATATGTTGTTTCCATAAAATACTATCAGATAGTTTTACCACAAACAAAAGAGGTCCTGTGCATTTTACAAGTTCTCCAAGTACCATTTCACTCCACGGTCATAGTTGCGAGTCTACATTAAATATCCTACTTGAAAAGCACAATGATGAGTCTCACGTCATCAATTAGTTTGCATAGCTTGGGATTTGTTTATATGTGAGACAACATCAGGACGGAGCAGGTCCCAACAGGTATGCAAAGACTGCTTCAAGAAAAGAGTTGCAGGTGACTACTGGGTAGTAACATGTGTTGTGTTCCTGCAGAAAAGCAAAACAAATTTCTGTTTCTGTCCAGTTTCTGTTGATGACTCAAAATAGACTAGTAACTAGTTGGCTCTTAAGGCATGCTTAAGTGTTTGTACAATGCTAAATGTTCTGCTAGTCCATTTTTAGCTGAGTGGTATGGAACAGAATGTTTGTGCTGAATTTCATTTGAAGCTAGGAACCTTGAAATTTTTCAGAACAGAATTGAGGTCCATTGTTACTCACCAACTGTAACAGTAAACCAAATTAGCTAAACAAGGTACGAATATGTCTAATGGTCTTGGTAACTGTAGTAGAAGTCATCCTGAAAATTTCTGGCCATTTCAAATAGGTGTTGACTACAACCCCGAACCATATAACCTTTCAAAGGTCTGGCAAAGTCCATGTGAATACATGTCCAAGGAATCTGAGGCCACGACCAAGGGCGTAGATAAGATGGTCCAGGATTATGTTGAATTTGTTGACACATAATACAGCACTTTGCCTTTCTCTCAATATCTTTGTCAATCCCCGGCCATAGACATGACTCCGGGCTATGGCCTTTATCCACACAATGCCAAAATGTTCTTTTGAAGAGCTTCCAAAACCTGAGATTGGAGTGATCTTGGAATGATCACTTGCACTCTTCATTATATGCAACCGTGATTCACAGACAATTCACACTGATGTGACAAGAATTGTGCACACTGGGAATTTTTTTGATCCAACACTACCTTGTAGTACCACTTCCTTCACAAGAGAAGGCATATCATCCTTAGTGGTTTCTTTGTTGATATCTGTGCTAATGATGGGTAACCTATCCATCAAATTGAGATAAAACACTTCGTCTGAAGTTTCTTTGAGTTGATGGCAATGCAGGCATGGCAGTCATCACAGCCCATCAGCATTGCCATGCTGAGTTCCTTTACTGAATTGAAGAGTATAGGAAAGAGCTGAAAGTTGCAATGCCCATTGTTGCATATGAGCAGCAGCTAATGACAGAATTCTATGTTTCCATCCAAAAATTGAAAATAACGGCCATTGATCCATCAGCAAGGTAAAATGTCTATCATACAGATAGGTATGGAACTTCTGAATTCTGAAGTTAATGCTGAGAAATTCTCGCTCTATTTACACATATTTCTTCTCAGGTGTAATGAGTTGTTTGTGAAGTGAAGGCAATTGGTTTCTCCATGCCATCAGGAAGAAAGTGGGAAAGAATTGCACCCACTTCATACTGTGAAGCATCACAAGCCAGTAGCAGTGGCTACAAAACATCAAAGTCCATAAGAACTTTCGCTCACATCAACAATTTCTTAGCTAATTTAAGTGCTCACACTCTTCAGTCCATTTCCATTTTTTCTTTGCTTGTAACAGGTCATGTAAGGCCAATACTGTTGCCAGATTAGTCAGACATTTACCATAAGAGTTAAGTAGTCCTAAGAATGAGTGTAACCATGACACATTCTCTGGCAGAGGCGCTTGAAGAACTGCCTTCTCTTTTTCTGGCAATTTCCTTAAGCCTTTGACATCAATTATATGTCCAAGGTATCCAAGTGAAGGTGTGAAAAACTCAGTTGTCTCGAGGTATTCTCAATCCATGGTCTTCCAAACCTTACAAGACAGCATCCAAATTCTGACAATGATCCTCTTGATCCTTTCCTGTAACAAGGATGTCATCCAAATAGCACTTTGAACTCCATTCAGTCCCTTCACAATCTCATCCATGGCTTTCTGGAACAGGGCAGGTGCTGACGGGATACCAAAAGGCAAACTGTTATAACAAAATAAGCCTTTTTGCATGTTGATTGAGATATATTTATGAGATGCCAGATCAATCTCCATTTGTAGATATGCATTGAGCAAATCCAATTTATTGAAACACTGTCCACCACTAAGATTAGCAAACAAATCTTCAATACAAGGTAGTGGTCAACCTGGTCTACACATAAAACTGGATTCAATGTCACTTTGAAATCGCCACAAATTCAGACTGAGCCATCCTTCTTGATCATTGGTATGATGGGTGTAGCCCACTCACTGTGTGAAACTGGTGACAAGACTCCAATGTTCACTAAACAGTCCAAATCGATTTCTACCAGAGGCTTTTGAGCAAAAGGCACAACTCTGGGCTTGCAATATTTTGGGTAGCTGTCAGACTTAACAGTGAACTTCACTGACATGCACAATTGTTGCCAAAGAATACCAAAGCCATAGAAGGCTAAGCCATAATATCTTTCCCCTGAAGCTTTACAGTATGATTTAAAGGATGATTGCTGTGTTTGACTTCTTTACATCTAAATAAAAAGAGAACTGTTTTATTATTTTGGAGCACTTAACAGTAGGACCCCAATTTAAAATGTACAAAATATCACATTTCAAGCCAAATACATGAAAGATGGCTGGAGTCAAAAGTTATCATACAAATGAAACAGAACATTTTTATTTTCATCATACTTCTAATTTCCACCTATACACTTTTTAAAATAAATCAGCATTTTAAACATGATCTCTTTTATCATCTTCAACAGAGAACCTCCTAAGAAAACTCTGCTCGTAGCTTTTTTTCCAGGTTGAAGTGTACATATTACTCACCTCAAATCCAATCCTGGAGGTTTTGGGTTGCACAATGACTATCATCTCCTTCTTCATGCTCTTAGAATATCAAGACACAATGTTAAGTAAAAACAGACAAAACAAATTGAGTTTTACAGACCACATTTTTTTTAAAAGGTTCCCATAAAAGGCCTATTTACAGCAAATATCAAATGTTTTGAGTACATATAACAATACTAAATAATTCTCAATCTAGCAAAAAAATCTAAAGAATTAATTTACAAGTTTTAAACGGCTGTTTTAAATCTAGGCTAAATTTAGCCCCTTTCCATAAAGATCATATTCTTTATATAGGATATAATCCTTTAGAACTGGTGGAAGAGGAAGCTTTGCCATTGATGCTTGTCTCCGCAGTCTCCTTAGTCCCATCAGTTGACGTATTTTCAGGCGGCACAAATGTTTTAATGGGCGAGGATTCTCTGAAAAATAGTGAGGGAAACACATCAGGGGAAAAAACAGGCCATTAATTTGGCAAGTGTGTCTCAGACTTAGAATCTCAAAACATGTGCTCTAATGAAACTCACTTCAGAAATCTACCAGCGCTCTAATGAAACTCACTTCAGAAATCTACCAGCTGAAAGCTCTCCTATTCCTGTTACTTTTAATAAAATACAGTTTTAATTTACTCCCAAATAAATGCACCACTAATAAAATTTCACTGGAGCAATGGTGACATCCAGTGGCCAGTTTTATTGTACTTAGATTTTATTTTCATATTGGATGCTCATTACGTTGTTTTTTTCCTGTTTTTAATTGACAAGCCTGTTTATTTTAGCTAAATTCTAAATGGTGATTTTATGTGCTATTAACACCTTATAATCAGCACTTTTCCTTTAAAATGATGGTAACACCATGGTCTCAATTTTTCAAACGTGGGCACCTGAATAGCGTATCCAAATCCTTCATTTGGACGCTTAGATCAACACACCAATTAGCACAATAAATGCTGACTAATTACATGATCTGTGTACTCAATCCTGAAAGGTGCTAAGCACCTTCAATTCCCACTGACTCAGTAACACTTGAAGGTGCAGTATTAGACCCTGTGTGTTTGAGTTATTGCAACTTCTAAACAAAGACTACAAATATCATAAGATAACTGATACATCATGCCACCAGAGAGAGTTCATTGTAATTAAATGTTTTATATGAACAGCATATTTCAAAATACTTGAACTTTTGAAGCAGTTAGCACAACCAAATCACTTTGAAGTTGTGACATCAAACAACAAAATCCAAAAAAGTAATTCTTTTGCGCACCAGTGTAAAATGCAAAAGCAAAAATAAAGACAGCATCAGCTTTAATTTTGAAAATTTTGCCTTTTATCAGTTGATTTTACAATCTCCACATTATTCAGACAGAATTTTGTATTTATTACCCTAATAGAAAGAGAACTGCTTTGGTGAAGGTTTATAAAAGCATAAACACTAGTGTTAATTACCTGTTAGACTGCAACAGCTCCAAAGAGAACTGTGCCAGATAAATATAGACAAACATATTTTCCATAGTTCAATAAATTAAAATGAATTAAATAGATCTTCATTTCAAAGTACCAATTCCAGTTTGTGTGCACATACATATAGGTATATTTTTAAAATAAATGTAGATGCTCAATAGACTAACAGCTCTACTGCAATATAGCATATAAATATGTATTTAGGCATGGTACACATGCCCTTAGGAAATTGTTATAGGACATCTTCCTATACATATCTAATGGAAACTTTTCAGAATTGAATTGCAACTGCTTTAAAGTGGCACTGAGATAAATATCATAAATTAATTCCTTGCCTGTATTACTAATAAACTAATGAAACTGGGCAATTTTTTCAAATGTAGGACTAAAGTGTCCCTTACACATAAGCATATACCCTACGTAGCCTACATAAGGGACTGGAAACTTTGTGAATTCATAGTTATGAGGTGAAATCCTGCGTATGTTTATGTTTCAGCTGGGAGGTGTGATTCCCAGCTCAGGCCGACAGACTCATGCTAGTTAGAGCACAGCTAGCACAAGTCTGTCTATCTGTGCTACCAGCTGCAATATAGACATACCCACTGAAGTCAATAACAAAATTCTCATTGACTTCAATAGGGGCAGGCTGTCACTCATGGTGTTTCTGCCAGATCGATCTAGTAGGAGGGTAGGATTTCTGAAGGGTCAGGATTCCTTCCACCCAGAACTGGAAAGGGCTTCTGCGTCCTAAACCTGAGGATTCTTTCCTAAGATCTTGGCAGATCCTGAATGATCTACTGGATCAAGAGCAATCTGCATGAAGTTCCCGTGCCCCTCAGTGCCTCTAGGACCCCCCAGTCTCCATGATTCCCAAATTGCTGCTGCTCTTGAACCCTCTCGGTCCTGGGGTTAATATTGTGGTGGAATGTCACATCTAGTTTGTAAGCCTTTTAAAAGACAGGTAAACACAGGAACCCGTGAGAGGCTCAACTAAAATGCTAAAAATGATGCCCCGATAATGCACATTGTGTAAGTCAGATTTAGGACATTGTGGCATACTAAATGCCAACATTTTTACAGTCGAAGTGTTCCACACTCTTTCTCGTGTTGCTCTCTGAAGAGCTATTAGGTGAGGGAGGAAGTAGAACAATGAAAGCGTGGGCAAATGCCCCTCGGTAAATTAATGGAGATATCCCATCTCCTAGAACTGGAAGGGACCTTGAAAGGTCATCGAGTCCAGCCCCCTGCCTTCACTAGCAGGACCAAGTACTGATTTTGCCCCAGATCCCTAAGTGGCCCCCTCAAGGATTGAACTCACAACCCTGGGTTTAGCAGGCCAATGCTCAAACCACTGAGCTATCCCTCCCCCCATCTCAGCATCTCAAAGGATTACACAGTGATGGGTGCATTAGAAATACATATGTCAGTGTAGGGTGAGATTCTGCCACCACTACTCACCTGGAGGTACCTTACTCTCCAAATGAAATAAATGGGGCTTCCCCCAGAACAAGGTACTACTCAATGGGGCAGATCCTTAGCTAGTATAAATTGTCTTAGTGCAATGATGTCAATGGAACTAGGATGACTGATTCTACCTGAGGATCTGCCCCAGTCTGAGAGAGGGTGTCAGGAACTGGCCCTTAGACCAGGTGATGCAAACAGAACATATTAGAATTAAATATAACTGGTAATTATAGTAATTTTTTACAAACCTTTAATACCAGATCAAATAATTAAACAAATGTTAGACATTTACCTAATATCTGATGTATCTCTGGCCATTCTTTCTGTGCTTCTAGGACACACTTTAGTTTTGAGCACAAAGGAACATAATCCATATAGTCTATCAAAATGCGAATCACATGTCCAACTAAATGTTTCAACCAAGGAACTGTAATAAAGGCACAGAACTGAAAGGAAAAACACAGATTACTTTTAAAACTCACCCAGGGAGATGCCAATATCCTGTAAGAAACAGTCCTGTACTGACATCCCATGGGGATATAATGGATCACCTAAAAAGTCAGCTCCAGCAATCTCTAACTTCTGATTCTTTGTTTGAACAGAAACCTGAAGGCCACTTTTCATTATGTCAAAGATGACAATATCTTGATAACTTCCTCATTGTTTTATTCCACTTTGGTTTTAGAAGTAGGGTTAAACATCTGTCTCTAAAAAGTACACTTTCATTACATGTATGCTGAGCATTATTGCTCAAACAATAATCTCAAACTCGGGAAAACCTGGAGGACATGAACTCTTAGGCCTTTATCATTTTTATCTACTACTATCATAACTCTACATTTTTCGGCTATACTTTGCATTCAAATTTGCTTGAATATATCCCTGAAAAATGGGTTTGCGGTGAGTCTCAAAACAGCCTATGAAATAATATGGCACCCTTGGAAATCTTTGATCATAAAGCATCCAAAGTATAAAATCCTCAAACAGTATCTTGTGTTACCTGTGTTACTAATAACAACTTATCAGTATCTTATGCACGCTAATTGTTTGGGAATACCTGCTGCTAGCAGAATGCTAAATGGCATCCTGCTCCCATTGAAGACAATGGGACTTTCATCATTGACTTCAGTGGAAGAGGAATTGGAACCAAATACAGTTACATTTTTTCTTTTGAACCCACCATTTTATACAAAAGATATAAATGTTCCAAGAATTGTATCTCATAAGTACTGTGTTTAATTGTACTGACACCTCTTTATAGTAATACTTTGCACTTACATAACTACAGAACCTTTTATCTGAGGATTTCAAAGCATTATCCAAACATTAATAAAGTAAGCCTCACAGCCCTCTTGTGACAGGTAGATATTATTATTCCCTCTGTCTATATGGGGAAACTGAAGGACAGAGAAGTTCATGCCGACATTTGGAATTTCCCCCCACTATCGTTGTGTGCCTCAGTTATTGGGATACCCAGGTCCTGATTTTCAGAAGTGCTGAGCATCACAGCTCTCATTTGACTTCAATCAAAGTTCTGGATTCTCATTCACTCTGAACACCTGGACATCTCAAGCTGGGCATCAAAAATGTGGACGTTTCATAAATTTAGTCTAACATCTCAATCCTGCAAACACTTACACATACGTATAACTTTATTTGTGTGAGTAAATCTGTTGATTTAGATAGGTAGATCTCACATGCTTAAGAGGTTGCAGGATCATGCCCTATGTTTAACCCAAAACATAATGGCAAATAATTGGCTGAGTTGTGAATAGAACCCATTTTCCTGCCTTCCAGCTCCCTCCTTTAATTGCTAGTCAATACTTCCTTCCTACAACCTCTAACTCAGTTTCAAAACTAAAACTACTCTCTATGTGTCATTTTCTCTATACCAGAATAAAACTGAAGAAAGGTTGGGGGTGTGTGTGTAAATAAGTATGCTGATATCAAGAAATCTTAATTCTGCATTACAATATGAAATAAATTTAAAGCAAGATTGCATTGAAGAGAAAAATGAAGAGAAGAAAATGAGGAATGTGCTTACTGGAGTATCTTTTATTACACAAGATGTCCATCCTGGTAATACCTCCTCTTCTGGAAGTGACCACACAAAAGAACTTCCAAAGATGTCGCCATGCATGCAATCAAAACACCTCTCTGCATTATATCCATGATTCAACAACAGCCTTAGCATTACCTCATCATTCAAAGCGTACTGAATGGCACTGGGGAAATGGGTGTCATTCACGAGCATGAAGTAGCAATTGACATTTGCTCCATATGATAGAAGCAATCGTACGATTTCATGGTTACCAGCTCTCACTGCTACAAGAAGACAATTTAGAGGATCCTTGTTTGGGTCTGCACCAGCTTTGAGTAACACTTCTGTGCAGAGAATGTCATTGTTAGAAACAGCAAAATAGAGTGCCGTTTTCCTTTCATCATCGTAGTTTTCAGAAATGTGTTCAGCCAGGAGAGTATTGACATCAAAATCATTTTCAATGAGGAGTTCTAGACACTGCACATTCTGGCCATCTGCTGCTGAGTGAATGGGGCTTAACCCACTTCTCTGGATTGCAGTCTTGGATGTAACAGGAATTAGATATTTCAATGACCTAAAAAGATAATGAAGAAAATTTTCATCTGGCTAAAATCCACCCAGACATCAACTCCTTCCCCACCCTGCAGCTAAAATCCACCCAGGCATAAACCCCTCCCCCAACCTCATGAAAACAGGATATCCAGTTGTGACTTTCTACTACCTAACTGAACATTTCACCCGAGAAGCCAGATTCTGCCCTCGTTTACTCCTGAACAACCCCAAAAGACAAATTTCTGTCCTGACTTATACCACATGGAACCTTTTTGAATTAAATGGAGTTGTACAAAGTGTAAATTTGTACCACCGAATGTCCCAATTACTTTCTTTTAGAGCTGCTAGGTTTTGTTTTTTGTTTTGTATTTCCTATTGAATATGCTGAAGCCACATTTAAGATTTAATTAAAAATAATTTAATGTACATACTTGTCAAATATGAATGATCTTTAAATTTGGACTTTTCAATTTAATCCTTTAATGTGACGTAGTACTAGATGCAGTATTATAGGGGAGAATTTGAAGCCTACAGTTATACTCACAGATAATGTCCTTCATAGGCTGCTTTGTGTATAGGGAGCTGTCCTGCCCTATTAGGCACATTACCACTTCCTCCATATTCCAAAAGAAGAGCTATACAGTCTGGATTACCTCCTCCAGCTGCTTCAAACAGTACTGATGCACCATCATCTGCTAAAGCATGAACATCACCACCTGGTGAAAGGATATAAAGGTAATAGTTAAGTCCAAAGGAACTTGGAAGATGTATCTTGTCTTTAAAATATCCTGAATTTCTTTTCTCTTCATGTTCAGTTATTAAAATTGCACCTCTAAGAACAGAACAGAAAAGTTTATAGTAACCAATTTAGAAATTAAATGTAAAATTCAACCATCACAGATACAAACGTATATATATTAGGAAAGTGGAGAGAAATCACTTGAGTGACATTTCCTTTGAGTTGAGATACTTAACTGAGGATGTGCAGTATTCTGAAATCCTTTCAAACATGCTTAATCTCAGATTTGCATGTTGCTACTTAAAAAAAAAATTTGGTGTAGGAGCAGAAGTAATCCCCTCTTGTCACTTCTAACATATATATTATATCATTGTAAACCTTTTGTTTTCTTCCAGTGGTGCAAAAACATTCCCATGTGATGCCTTCCTCCCCAAAAAATCCAATCTTGGGAAAAAAACATGTTCAGTTACAGTAAAACCTCAGAGTTACAAACACCTCGGGAATTGAGGTTGTTGGTTACTCTGAAATGTTCGTAACTCTGAACAAAATGTTATGGTTATTCTTTCAAAAGTTTACAGCTGAACATTGACTTAATACAGCTTTGAAACTTTACTATGCAAAATGCTGTTTTCCCCTTTTTTTTAGTAGTTTACGTTTAACACAGTACTGTACTGTGTTTGTTTTGTTTTGTTTTTGTCTCTGCTGCTGCCTGATTGTGTGTTTCCGGTTCCAAATGAGGTGTGTGGACTGATCAGTTTGTAACTCGTAACTCTGAAGTTCTACTGTAAATATTCCCTTCTGAGACTTGGAAGCAGGGCCCAGCAAGGCAGCTGGAAACAATTTTTTTTCTTTTGTGCAGTTACATATTTTTAGGTAAAGATTTCAACGTTAAGTTTAGCCTTTAAGAGTCTTATATGAATTGAGATAATCCCTAGAGTGCTTTGGTTCCATAAACCAAAGAGTGAGGGTCATGTTTTCCCATTCTGTGTCTTTTAAATCATAAACCTAGTAATCTGAGTTTAAAGCTTGAGATTTGGCATAGTTATAGGCAGGCTACTTTGCAATATGGAACCATTGTGGCAGCGCATCCTAGTGGCTATGGATGGAATTAAAAATATACATATATATTACACAGTTTTATCTTATTTGGTTATCCAGTATTAATCTATCTATTGAGTCACTGGTGCAGCTCACATATTGGGTATTTGTCCTGGACCAAATAAACTAACTCTGATGGCTCTCATTCTACATCCACTACATATGTTCCTTATGCACAGAATCCTCCCAGTGATGTATCAACTATTCTGCTTTGGAATTTGTTGGACATTAGACAGAGCACACCACAGGTTAATGCTTTGATAAATACAGCCAAGATGCTGTGGGATTCACTGAGAATCCTGGTGATATTTAGGTGCTGGATACTTACAAGGCCTGAAATAGGTCAAAAAGACTCATTCAATAGTTTGAAAGGTCAACCTTCTGCACCAAGGGAAAAAGCACATTAATGTGAATAAGCAAAAAGTATGCAATTAATTGTCTCTTACAAAAGAAGGTAAGGCACTGGTATTTGCTTGAATATGTGGAAAAACATTTAAACAGGACAGTGATCGGCAATGGTAGTGTAGAAGGACTAAAGCACAGGGTCAGCAGTAAAGGAGGAAGGTCGTGGGGAAATATATTGATAGAACGCAACTTAAGACATGTACATCTGACATTTTCCTTACTTTCTGTTTGCCTAGTCTATTTCGTTTGTGAGGGACCATGTCTATATATGTGTTTGTTTAGCATTTCCCTTAATGGTGCTACACAATCATGTAGCAAAGATTATTTCAAAGAACACCTTACAGTACTGAAAAATGACTACATTATTCTCATACCTGTCCACAGCATACAACTCTTAGCTTAAAAAAATGAGAGCTTGCCATGGCTGTTTCACTGTCAGTTTGTTGAAATAAGAGAACACAAAATCAGACCACCTTTAGTGCTAAAAGTTCCAAAAGACACCTCACGGAAGGATGCAAAAGAACTGCATCATGCTGCCATAGTTTAAATGCTATGGCCAGGATCAGCAAAGGTTTTTCAAGATTTTAACACAGGGGTAGGCAACCTATGGCACTCACACTGCCCAGGTCCTGGCCACCGGTCCGGGAGGCTCTACATTTTCATTTAATTTTAAATGAAGCTTCTTAAACATTTTAAAAACCTTATTTACTTTACATACAACAATAGTTTAGTTATATATTATAGACTTATAGAAAAAGACCTTCTAAAAACGTTAAAATGTATTACTGGCACGCGAAACCTTAAATTAGAGTGAATAAATGAAGACTCGGCACACCACTTCTGAAAGGTTGCCAACCCCTGTTTTAAATAATCTCAGGGCAGCTGGAGCCAATGGAAAGTCTGGATGTTGTCTAAGATGTCTGCTGATCAAGTTTGCTGAAAAAATTTGCATGGGAGAAGAGATGCGAGCCTGTAATTGGCAATCTTCCTCGGAACAGGAAAGTCTACCAGGATGTAGATCAGAATAAAACAACTGTTTCTTCTAATAGAGCACAGGAGTCAAGTGAAGAGTTGTGCAGTATATTGGGGAACAGGTGCTTTGCTCATCAGGGGGAAGGGCACAAGCCACACATAGCAGTGCAGCCAGAGAACACTGATATGTAAACTGCAGCACACGATAAGCATGAAGATACCACTCAGCATGGCTTTCATGGAATCAAGGGGAGCACAACAGGCTCAGATGATATGGGTCTAACACAGAGGTTGGCAACGTTCGGCACGCGGCTCGCCAGGGTAAGCACCCTAGCGGGCCAGGCCAGTTTATTTACCTGCTGACGCAGCAGGTTCGGCCGATCGCGGCCCCCACTGGCCGCGGTTCGCTGTCCCGAGCCAATGGG